TACAGCGAAGTTAAAGCAAATTTGTATACAAAACTTTTTTTTCGAAGCTGCATACGAAAAGTATCAAATGTTACAAAAAGTCTAAAAGTTAAAACATTGAGTGGTGATAAGCGTTGACAGCTGACGTTGTGCGTATATTTTCAATGACAAGAATGTTTAAGCGTGAAAATACATGTTTGTCAGTATGTGTGTGGCTCGCAGCATTTTCCATAATTTAATGTTTTTTTTTGTCTTTTACTAAATTTTTGCCAATATTTTGATTGATGGTTGTGGAAGCTGATGACAGCTCCACGAAAACCATTCTGGCTAAATGCTGCAGATTAAATAATGACTAGGCCGAAAACGGGACCATAAGCGGAATGTCATTTAGTGCTATTCGTTATACGCCACTTGTCACTTGCTGTGCAAATAAATTATTTTGTGACTTAAACAAGTCACGTGTACTAAAAAAATTGGTATTTTTAAATAATATTGTGTATGGATATTTGTGCGCTATTAGGTATTGAGTTTTAAATATCAATCAATTAGAATTTTCTTTATTGAATGCTTGTATTGCTTTGTTTCTGATAATTTATATGCATGTTCAAATTAATATATATGACGGAAGTGAAAATCAAATTTATCGAAGCGTGGGAAAAATGTTACAGTTTTTTTATGGTGACATGCTAATAAAGTGGCATTCTATATGTTTCTTTTATTGCCTGCTTTTCGCCAAGCATAGTGAAAAGCTTGTATTCAATATTATTTTGGCTTTTCATTTCAATAAATGTTGCCGAATTTATTAAAATTCTCTTTTTTAATTTGAATGAAGCTCTACCAAAATTACTTTATTTGACGAGTATAAAAAATGTTATAAAAAAGTATCTATATTATGTTCCGGATTGGAGCATGCCGGTGTCAATTAAGTTTGACAAATTTTTTCATCAAAAATTTCAAAAATATATATTGCTTTAGTAATATATATTACTGTTCGACGAATTGCCATATTTTAATTCTTATCTGTACTCGCTTCTCATGCCACTGCATCATGTCACACCATCTTCAATATTGAACAACTACTATACAAGGATTATACAGCACAGTGTTTATAAATATATACAATTATACTTTCATATCAATTTCACTTGACTTACTTTAAACGGACTGACTTTTCCGTTATTATGCTTTGATTACTCAATAAAAAGATAGATTTTTGCAAATATGTAGTATTTCTCTGCTATATTTTGTGTGAGTAGTAAAGTTTTGACTCAGAGGAAGTAATCATCTACAGAGTTGCAAAGAAAAATATACTTTATATTTTTGTTCAAGTCGCTTTTCCTTTATTCCACGGACTTTATAAACTAATCATAAATAAAAACTGATTTCAATTCGATATTCGTGATTAAGGCATGATGGAGAAAATTTATTTAAAATGACAATAGATCTGCTATCAAAGTGAAATACTTCGTATTAAAAGTGAAGAGTTCGGGCCAACAAGTGAAGTGACTTCGGTTGAAAAATACTCTGCAATTTAGCTAAGTGAATTAAAACCAAATTAGTGAAAATACTCGAAGTAAAGTTTTATTTTATTATTTTTTACCGATCCTTTTGTGTTTAGTTATTATTAAGAATATTTTTTGATGAACTACAAGTATAATATGAGTTTTTGTGTATTTAAAGTTATAATTAATTAAAAATTACTATTTGATATCAAACAAAATTAAGTCAATTATATAAATATATATAGTCCCTCTCCCTCGAGGATTGTTATCTTGTCGCGATGAGGAAATAGCAAGTACAATTATCTTCAGAACGATACCGGCGGTAGCTTAGCAGGGTATCCCAAGTTGGTAAAGTCGAAGGTGAGTACTGAAGCTAAAACAATCCACATAACGCTCTCTTTCTGCGAGCGAGGTCGTAGCGTCTGTTCACATGCTAGTGACGGCTACAGCGGGCGTCAGTCTTGCAACAAGCGGCTCGAGTTATAAGGGTCTATATTTAATATACCGGTTCGTGCGCCAAGGTGGCAGCTCTATCAACGAGCTAGGAAGGCTAGGCTAATCACCCATTTTTGTGAATAAACTGGATTACTGAAACCAAATTTGGCTCTACGCTCCAACTGCAATTAAAGAAAATATATATAGATATAGTATATTTAATAAAAATGCAGTTAAAGAAGAAAAATATATATTTAGTAGATATCAATAATAGGAATCGATAAGTCTTCAAATATATAATATTTAAAAATGCATAAAATATGATATCAATGCTTCACTTTCACAGCATTTGTAGGAATTTTCTAAATATGTATAATATAATTATATTAATTCAAAGGCGCGCTATCAAAGGGCTCTGAGTTAATTTCCTGCCTGCAAAACATATATAAAAAGAGCGTCATATGCATGTATTTTCTCATAAAGGACTAAATATAACTTCAACAAGCTTCCATATGTGTGTCCATTGTTTTCATAAGAAACCACCAACTTCAAAATATATCGAAAACTCACCTTTCATTGCATTGTGTTACTATGTACTGAATTTCTGTCCTACATAACTGTGTGTACACTAAATAGCTGCTTTGGCTGAAATAATTCAGATTCTTGGCAAAATTGCAATTTACCTTAAGAGGACGAAGAGTTATGCACATGTGTATATGGATTCCATGTTCAAAACTTTTAGAAATAGCTCAGTTTTGACCGAAGATAAAATAAATACTGAACTTTTATTAGATAAAAATAAAATATAATACATTTTTTCAAATGTGAACCCAAAACTGTTCTTTATTGCGTACTTACTTTTATTTTATTCAACATTTCTAACATATAATACTTCTTAATTATTTCTTTTAATTACCTTCATCTATTATAAGAAATGTTAATTCTTTTATTGTGCCGAAATGCAGCGAGGGTCACTTGGGCTCTTATTTGTACTTATATTACATACAGATTTATATTTTGTCCTCAGTTACTTGAATGCAAGGAAAATTAAAAATTTGCATTACTACTTTTCGCATATCCTTTATGCTAATGATTTTTATGTTTATTGTATTAAAGGTGTGTCACATTTAAAATTGGTGCTTCGTGGAAATTCTCGCTTAGAGGAATTTTTATTTTAATAAGAGCGCTTTGATTATTCATGTTTTGCGGTAAAATTCTAGTTGAGTTTTTATGGCAAATTGTAATATTTTAAGTCATAAAATGGTGAAACGACTTCGCTGGACAAATTTTAAAAATATATAAAACACAAACCCTTCCAGCATTGTTTCCCTGCAACAAACTGAACACATTCAGAACCCTCCGTCAGTACCTTTAATTCAGAATTCACTTAATATTACGAATGCATTACTACACTGTGATACATACATACGGCTACCGCACGCACGAGTGAATCAAATTCGAAATTCAGCAGATTGTCCAACGGAAGTGTGAACTTTTCACTTGCAGTATGATAAAGCGCAAGCATACTTGTTATCTTGTGTTTACCCAACTGCTGCAATGAAAGTGCAAAATGGTGGCTACACTTATTGAGTTGTGCCGTCGGGTTGCACTTTAATATGGATGAAAAATTTTGATCGTATATTGCTCTTTGTATGCAAATATCATTTCTTTATATACGTATGTACGCATGTGCGTACACTTGAGTTGCATTTTCCTGGAAGCCTCGTGTTGTCACCTTTATTGCGAAACTTTTCATGGCGGACGATGCCTGCGGGCATTTTATTTGATATTCCGGTTATTTTCCGGTTAGTTTTTTGATACGCATACAATTTTTTGTTGATAAGCTAATAGATATATTTTTATATATTCTGTATATTTTCTATTCAGTATTATTTATGACAGTTGTAGAATTATAAATTGAGGAAAGACATTTCTTTTTTACACAGCTTCGGTAAAATATTTATTTGATGTGTTTTATGCCATTTGCTTTAATCAATGCTGTTAAGGGGTTAGGTGTGGTGAGAATTCTCAAAAAATCTATTTTTGCATTTTCGTTAAGTGTAATACCTTGAAAATATTCCCTGCAAATTTCAAGTTGATCCGATAATTACTTTTGGAGTTATTCGACAAATAACTAAGAGCACTCGGGCACTTCAAGCGCTCGGGAGCAGGTAGTTAATCTAGTATGAAACTTTAAATGCGTTTTTCTCAAAACTATGTTTTTTGAACTGGTGACAACTGTAACTCGAAAACCGCTCAGTAGATTCTAATAAAATTTATACAGCTTTTATGATACATAATAAACTCAGGCCTGATCGAAGGATATTTTTTTTGGACCAAGATTTTGTCCCAAAACTCTAGAGGCCGCAATTTGTTAATTTTTGGAAAAGAAGCTTCGATAATTTCAAGGAATTGTGACATTTAATGGTTTTCAAGACGTTGTGATTTAACACCATTATACTAATTCTTGAAGTCATTGGTCTTAAACAATAAACCAGATTCTCTTAAAGCTTTAAAATCCAAAACTAAACGTTCCATTTGAATGATGTTATATTCAGAACTTAATTTTATCGATTGTAGTTCACATTAGATACAAAATATTTGAATTTTCTTAACAATTAGCGTGTGTGTGTGTTTTGTTTTCTCTTTTGAAAATTGAGTGTGGTTTTTATGAGCTCTCGAATGACACAGACATTGAAAGTTTAGAGAATATGCGCAATATTATTAAAACTGATTACTATTTTCCCATAACAAAATTCCCGGAAGTTATGCACGCCAGTTATTGTCGATTATTGTACATTCATTTCACAGTCACTCAAAATTTAATAATTGACAACATTTTTCAATATAAATAATTGACTTATATTTGCATTCCATTACTAAATTTCATACAAACGATTGCAAATATTAAATCGCGCGAAATTATATTTGAATTGTCAAATTAATTATTCAGAACGTGTGGTATTTAGTTTATTTTCGGCATTTCAGGAATTCTACAATAGATATCAGGTTATGTTAAGTACTTAATGTTTACAATTATTTATGTGTATGTGTTTATGATAATTTATATGTACATAACTCGAGGTTGATTATAGAGAATAAAGTATTTCAATGATTGATTAAAAAAAATTTTTTTTAATTAACCTAAACCGTATATCAAGTGCATACTTTTTCTATAAATATTTCAATCTGGTACCACAATAATATCGTAGACTTAATTTGAAATATTTTGGGCATTAAACGGCATAGTATATCCAATAATATTCGTATAGTCAGTTTCAATTGGATCAGGCAAGTTTTCACCCAATTTTACTCATTTTCAGCACAAACATGCACCAAAAAATACATTCACTTAATTTCATTAAAATAGCTCACATATTAGCCGACGTATGTGGTATGAAGTAAACCGGAAATTCGACAATATTTCAATAAGGTATATAGGTGCTAAGAGAACTATTGACCTGATTCTTTCTCTGAATTGTGTCTCTCTCCGAATTTTAATAATATATATCAAATATTGATCATTATTTCCGGTAAAAATGTTAGCACCAGGCACTGTGGTCCCCACATTGGGTAACTGGGGGCTTGAACAGTTATGGTCTGATTTTGAAAATTTTTACACTTGAGATGGTGTAGTGGTGGTGTGGTGGATTTGTCCCGATATATTCTTTGGTGCTTGGTTTATATACTGGAAAGTTTAAGTCATACGGAATTTAACTTTGTGCTATATGGGTAGTAGGTATGGTTTTAGTTCGATTTCGCCCATTTTCGCACTGTAACATGAGAATATTAAAGTAGTTCTATGTACCGAATGTGGTTGAAATTAGTCGGAGGATATAAGATTGCACCTAAATGTGGGCGGTGCCGAATGTAAAATTAAATATCTCTAACGCATTAAGTTATTGATTTATCGCACTTTTAGTAGTTTTTAACAAAACCGTTATATACTGAGTGGGCGGAGTTATCATTAGATTTCATTCATTTTTCTACTGTCGAAGTTGGAGTTCAAAATATTTATTTTGTAAAACTTTGGGTCATATAACTCGAATGGCTTAGAAGATATATGTCTTGAACTTATTAGAAGGCGGGCACGCCCACTTAAAAAAAATGTTGAACCCTCCCCAATGCAATTCTTGGTTGCAAGAGTGTAAAAATATCTCTAAAAACCACAAATAACGAATACTTTTTTCGGACTGACGCGCACGATAGTTTAAGTATTTCCAGTAACCAACAATATCTACAAATTATTTTGAGGATAATTTATATTGTCTTAAACGAAGATTCAAAATTTCTCAAACCAAAACTACCTAATTTGAGTAAGCTTCTGACTTGACAGTAAATATTTTTCACACAACTTTGAGTTTGTCAATTTTAATTTATTAAGTATAAATGTTAAGTCGTCTTAAGTATTACATGTTCCGTATAGTTATAAATAGTTAATTTTACTGTAACTTGGTCACATGGTCAAGTTATTAGTTTATTTTTTTTTTGTTACATACATATATGCATTAAATATAATACGCGAATGTATGCATTTTGTTAGCCAAGACTTAGCCAGCCAATGTAGTAATGCCTTCAAATGTATTCTGTGAATAATACAAAAATTTAATATTTGGTTAGAAAAAAAAAGCTTCATGATTTAATGCTTACTCTTATATTAACAATATTGATGTTTGTTAATCATTTGATGTATTTCTCAAAATATGTATTATATATGTTTCTGTAAGCAACTAGTTTTTTTCATGTTTACAAAGCAAGTTTTCTCGAATGCCATTGATACTGGCTGGTTAAATGACGGTTGTATATGTTATCTACTCATCTTGCTTATTAAAGACTTAGAACTTCTTTTGTTTAAATTTATATACCAGTAGTGTGTTTTTTGGTCACTTTGTATATAATTTTATTATACATACAATATAATAATAATTTTTAATTTTATTATACATATAATAATAATTAATAATTTTATTATACATATAATAATAATTAATAAT